ATCAGAGGCCCCCAACCTTTTGGGCACCGAGGCCAGTTCCACGGAGAGAGATTTTTCCATGGACCAAAGGGTGTGTGGTTTTGTGTGCTGCCTGCATCCTGCAGATGGGGCTTTGCTTGTTTGTGCGAACCGGTTGCTGGCATGCTGTGGCCCAGTACTGGTCCACGGACTGGGGGTTGGGGGCCCCTGCCCTAAATTAAATTTTAGAATATTCAGAAAAAAGGAAATCCAAGAAAATTGAAGCAGTGTAACAGATGCTTCAGGTCCTAATTCTGAAGGAATAATTTATAAGTCTTGAAAAGAATTTGTATTAGAATGTTAATGTTCTTTACTCAGTGCTCCTACCTTTTAATTCTGTGTGGGCACTCAGTAGTTGTATTTCAGCCTTTTATGCATGTATTTTGCTCATGAGTAAATAATTTCTCTTTACAATTTTAAATTCCATTCTATCTATTTATAGGTAGTTTTGTCTTGTCATTTGCTTGTGGTACTGAATTTACCTTCTTCAATAGGGAATGTTGGCATTTAACATCTAAAGTTAAAATGAGCTATTAAAATGACAGCTCTTTTTGTCTTTTCTTTTTATAAAAGTTTGATTGCATTTATTTCTTGTGAGATTGGTCTCTCTCCCATAAAGGGGTTGAAATATCTAACTACATTTTAAAATGCTAGATGAACAACAGGTGGTGCTGTTGGGGTTTTGTTCTCATTTTTACTTTTTAATGACCAGAAAGGCAGTATACGGTATGCAGGGCTTTTTTTCTCAGAGAAAAGGTGGCGGAACTCAAACCTGGCCACGCCCTCATCAAACCCTAGGACCACCCCTTTAGAGAACAGGAATGCAAGTAAAATTTGGGAGGGGCTATTTCCGGTGTGGGAGGGGCTATTTCCGGTGCGGCCGGCCCGGAAAAAGGTGCCGGAACGCGGTTCCGCCGCGTTCCGGCTGAAAAAAAGCCCTGACGGTATGACACCTATATCTTTCTCACACATCTGGGCAACAGTGTTGTTACTGGCAAATCCTTTCAATCCAGAAGCACCCTTCAGCTAGCTTTGTAGGTGCTTCTGACAAAAATACAGATAGACCTAAGTTAAGGGAGCAGTTATCAGGTCAGGTGTCCCATGGAAGATACATGAGGGCATGTATATAAAGATTTAAAGGATATCTGGAAGAGGAGATTGGAGATCTCCAATCTTCAGCTTATAGGCTCACTGGTATTTCCACTACAATTTCTCTTTCAAGTTATAAGAAATTTTAGGGATGCCAGGATGGAAGATCTGTAACTTGAGCTGGCCACGAACAAGGAGTGTATATTGGAGGTGGTGACCCTTTGAGAGCTGTATGCAACGAAATTTCATTTTGATGTATGCCGATTGGTGTACTTTCAAAGTGACAATAAAGTTATTATTATTATTTACCTAGGGCTCTTTTTCCTTGGGAGGAGGGCATTGAAGACTTAGTGCATTTCTATGATATGGAGTTTAAACACACACATACATACAGATCATAAAATGAGAGGTTCCCATTAGCCATAGTCCAATTGATATGTATTCTTCACTGGGTTTCCCAGGAGACCTGGAATCATATGATTTCCTAAACAGCAAATCACTTATTTCTGATTAAGCTTGCTACTTCTGATTCAATCCTGGTATTAAACTCTGTCTTCATACAGACCTATCTCATCCCCTTCTCTTTGTTTTGAGAGCAACAGATATTAGATATAGGTATAGTATAGGAGGTACCTTGCTCAATAGTAGTAACTGTGAGAGGGACCTCGGAGTCCTAGTGGACAATCACTTAAATATGAGCCAGCAGTGTGCTGCAGCTGCCAAAAAGGCCAACACAGTGCTGGGCTGCATTAACAGAGGGATAGAATCAAGATCATGTGAAGTGTTAATACCACTTTACAATGCCTTGGTAAGGCCACACTTGGAATACTGCATCCACTTTTGGTCACCATGATGTAAAAAAGATGTTGAGACTCTAGAAAGAGTACAGAGAAGAGCAACAAAGATGATCAGGGGACTGGAGGCTAAAGCATATAAGGAAAGGCTGCTGGAATTGGGTATGTCTAGTTTAATGAAGAGAAGGACGAGGGGGGACATGATAGCAGTATTCCAATATCTCAGGGGCTGCCACAAAGAAGAGGGAGTCAAGCTATTCTCCAAAGCGCCTGAAGGCAGGAGAAGAAGCAATGGGTGGAAACTAACCAAAGAGAGAAGCAACCTAGAACTAAGGAGAAACTTCCTGACAGTTAGAACAATTAACCAGTGGAACAACCTGCCTCCAGAAGCGGTGAATGCTCCAACACTGGAAGTTTTTAAGAAGAGACTGGACAGCCATTTATCTGAAATGGTATAGGGTTTCCTGCCTGAGCAGGGGGTTGGACTAGATGACCTCCAAGGTCCCTTCCAACTTTTTATTATTATTATTATTATTATTATTATTATTATTATTATTATTATTATTATTATTATTATTATTATTATTATTATTATTATTATTATTATTATTATTATTATTATTATTATTAATTATATATCTATTCCCCTTTTATCACATAATTCTATACCAATAGCCTCCAAATTTTGTAGGATGCAATTCCCAGCTTCTGTCACCTTCCCCCCCAATCACTAGGTTGTTGTAGTGGTTGCTCCTAGGAGCAAAGCATCTGGCTGTGGGTATCACTGTGCAATTTGGGAAAATACCATTTGCTGCTTTCCCCATTTAGATCTTCCAAATAAGTAAGGAAACCATTGGATTAAGAAAACCATTGAACTGGAATTGCTTGCACCAAAAAGCTCCCAGTGACAATATCATTTTAGCACTAGAGGTCTTTTCTGCTGCCTATCATCTGCTGCAGCAAAAGAAACAAATGCTTTAGTAGCATTTTAAAACCTGTTTTTTCATGGTTCAGAGCCCAATTACAGACAGAAAGAGCAAAAATTCTTACTTGAGATTCTATTTCATTTGGAATGAAAATAGCCAGCCTTTTGGTTATAATACTTCCTATGATTCCAAAACTTAATCAATAAACAAGGGATAGAGTATATGAACTGTTCAAAATTAACTGTCCTGTTATTTACTCATCAGACTGATTTTCTCATTAATTATTTTTAAGCTTACTTATAATGGGACATTAAATATTTTGTTCTTTTCAAAAACTTCTCAAAAATTCATAAAGTTTTCTATAACTATTCTGAGATATTTTCTGTCCTTTCCATCTTCAGACAGATTTTAAATGCTTCAATGGGTCTCAATATGTTTTCCAAACAATACAGTTAAATATAATCCTTGCTTAAAGTGAGGATGTACAAAATCTTGCCATGCAGAAAGCTGCACATGCCACACATGGCAGACTGAAAATTGATCCCTCTACTTCCTCTTAAGAGCTGGTCTATATGAGACTTCCCTGGTTTAGAAAATGTCCTGTGTTGCTGTTACAGTCTTACAGAAGGAACAGATGGAACTAGTATACATTCTCTTAATGGGAATGTAATTTATTTGCACAGTTTATGCCCCTAACTTGTTCCAGATTGGAAAGTGTATATTTTGAAGTTGGCTCTTTCCAATATCAGAGGATGAACAGGCATGTAGCTCCCTCTGGTCCAAGGTGTGCAGACCAGGAAAGCATATTACTGCACCTGGAAAGGTCATATCCTCAGCAATGAAATGCAGATGAGGGACATCCAGAAGGATTAATCAAGCTGTAAATGACATATTTCCTAGAACATCTCTGCAGCTGTTCTTTGGTCTTTTTTTCAAAAATGGCTATTTCAGTAACTTTCTGGTTAGGGTGGTACTTAAGTTTACGGTGTATAAGAAGCTCACCACAAGCTTTCTTCCTTAGCTCATTCTATTCGTACAAATGTGCATGTGTAGGAGAAGATAGATATTACTTTTGCTAGGTTGACAGATTTCCACTGGGATCACAGAAGGCATTTCTACCCAAAGCATATACATTTTTCTTAGATCAACTCTCATGCCTGTCATCTCATGATATCATCCTTTTGTAGCAGCTATATCCATTTATTTCTAGCTCACTTACCATACAAGAAATCCTAACCTGAAATTGGTTTTCAGCTGGAAATGCCAGCATTCTGCAAAACTTTGGACTTGAGGAAATTCTTTCCTCACTTTTCCTCTCACCTTCTGGGCTTGGACAAGTCCCTGCAATAAGTTATAGAACCCTAGTCGGTATTGTAAGGAGATTGCTGGCTTGATAGTGTTGTCTCTTCCTTTCGACTGAATTTGAAATTTCAGTTTTATGGTATTCTGTATACAGAATTTATTGTATTCTACCACATGCTATTTTCTTTTTGATGGAGAATGATCCTTATTCAAATTGTCAAGTTGATTGAGTTTATTGATTTTCTTCTCTTTTCAAGGCTTGAGGTTGAGGCGATTTGGGTTGCTATAAGATTTACAGAAGCCTGAGGTGGACATGAGGTTCTTCTCATTTCTAGATGCATGTCCTGATAGCTGTTCTTTCTTTTTTCTCCATATATAGTATTTAGCACCATTACTTTGTTACTATAGTGATGAAAATAAAGGGAACATATTGTTTCTTCATTCTAGTAATTCACTATGGAGCTCTATAGACTTTGTTGAAAATAGTGATTTTGGAGATCTATAGAAACAAAATAGTAGTTTTACCAAAAGTCTGCTCCAACATGCCTATGTTGCAAAGTCATTGTTTTTTAAAAGAGGAAGGGACCCATTGCAGTACTGTACTCAAAGTGGGAAGACAAGCACACCCAACATGGGCAGAAAATAAAAGAGAGCCCATGGGGAGATGTAGGAATGGAATGGAGAGGTGCTAGCAGAAAAGGTGGGAAAATACGATGGCGAGGAGAGTTTACTAGCTTCTGTGATCTACGTGGATCATTGTTAGGTAAACTGCCACATCAGCTACTGAGTTATTTCAGTAGCTGATGTGGCATACCAACTGATAAACGAAGAAAACTACAAAGAATAAATGGAAGAAAAAGGAAATACTTACAATACCACAAGGCTAGTGAGGTTCTGGAAGGCATAATCAGGAATGTGCCAGATTCGGTTGAGCGCCAATGTCATTGCTTGCAGAGCTGGCAGATTATTGAGTGCTTTAACAGGGATCTCTGTCAGGGCATTATCATCCAACCAGAGATGACGTAAGGCAGTTAACCCTTCAAAGCTCTTTTCAGGTACAACAGAGATCAGATTGGCATCTAGGCGTCTACAAGAGAAAAGTGGTTAGCAAATCAGATATAAAGACAGATATGTTTTTATGTTCTGTTAGTTAAAAATTAGAACAAATCATCTCAGAAGGAATGTTTTGCTCAGAACTTCAAGAGACATGTACTAAAAATTGGATAGTTCTAATTTTTCCTACATCATTCGCTTTGGTAGGAAATAGGACTGTGAGGTTGGGCCTCAGAAATAGGATGGCATATAATTTTTTGTTGATTACTTTTTAAAATCTTCTAATGGTGATAACCATGAGGATATTATCTATTATGTACATTCTACTACAATAAATAAAGCTGCTCTGGACATTTTCTTGCAATAAAAATAGGACAGAAAGATTAAAAAGGGATTGAAGATGGTAATAAAATAAAAAGGCAATTGATGGAGAGGAGAGAAGAAACGAAGATGATCAATACACATTCACTCACTCACTCACACACACACACACACACATATAGTGAGACACATTTGGTAGTTCTTATGAGAAAGCAGTCATGTTGAAAATAAGAAAAGAGTAAACATGAACAACTTATATACCATATTATCTGTTCAAATAATGTTATTGTTAAAGTTATAATTGCTTATAAATCACTCCAAATAAATAAAATGAGAGTCACAGAATAACAACCCCCATCTTTTGTCTAAGATCCCACCCTACCAGGAAAAGAACTCATAAAGGAAACAATACAAGAATTCTAAATTTTCATTTAGGGATGGTGGCAGTGAAATGTTATACTCTATTTATTCCCAAAACAAATTTAGAAGAAATTATGCTTCTTCTAATCAAAGAAACCCAATTTGGTGCAATAACCCATAAAAATCACATTACATGGTTGAGTTAATTCCAGTTGACTATTACAAGTAGAACCAAATCCAGTCCAGATTAAGATAAAATGTTTGCACTGAAAAGACTGTAATTCACTTTTAGTACCTAAGTAGAATCTATTTTCTCCTGTGTAGAACCCACATTCAAATATCCAACTAGCTTGTCAAAGTGTCTAAGACTTGGTTCAGGACAATTTTATATAGCAATGGCACAATTAGACTATTTTGGCATCAAATCTGGAATTTTTAAGTGGAGAAGATTTCTACCCATTTTAAAAGGAGTCCAAAAAATTCCTGGAAATTAACTTTGTTCTAGAATTCTTCATCAAGGTAAATAATACAGTGAAATGGAAATTAAAATAAGTTTTCAGATGTGAAAAAATTCCAGCAACATTATGTTATATATGTCAACCTGTTCTCTTTTGAAGAGAAAGGGAAATCTAACAAAAATCTTGTCAATTTCACCATGCTTTGCTTTCTCTGGGCTTTGGATGAGGAGCTGCCAAACCTCAAGCCTGCATGCCCTTTATTGGATCTTTTGATTGTTGCTGTTCATGAATAGCAAGGAGCAAAAACTCCCTATAAGGGGGAAATAGCACCACAGGACCTCTGGGAAATAGGGGAAGGGAACACAGTTCTGTAGTTTTAGCTACATCTCAGCTCTGCCTTTCAAGTTTGTTGAAATTATGAGGGAGAATCCCAGAGCAGCTTTCTTATGTTAAACGATTTTAAATATATCTATAGAGAACAATGCTATTGAAGATCTCAATATATTTCAAAGAAAGGTGCATTAGAAAATGTGTGTCTACGTGTCTGAATGAATTTGAAGAAGCAGGAAAAGAAGGGCACAGTACTGATTCTTTTGGAATGGGATATTGGAGAAAGTTCCTGAGAATATCATGGACGGTATGAACATAAACCAATGGATCATCAAACCCAGATGGTAATCAACCCAGAATTCTCACTCAAGGCAATGACCTAGCTCAAATTATCCTATTTTGGATACATTATGTGAGAAGAAGTATCTTGTGCTGGGAATGGTGAAAAGAAAGAATATGACCAGCAGTAAAGTAGATGGATTCAATTACAGTAGCAATGACCTGAAAGCCCAGATTAGGGACAGAATGTCAGAGAGAAAATCTATTTTATGCTAAGAGTCAACTCTAACTTGGTGACACAATCTATCTTACATGCAATCAGGCCAAGTTTAGGAGCTAATAGTAATACATCTGCTGTCTTTTAACCTTCAAAATATTTTTGTTGTGGTATGACTTTGGCAACTAATAACAACTGGATAAACCAAAGCAGAAGATTAAAATGTTTGGATGATCAACCTGAAGAGGAGGAAAAAAGATTAAAACTACTTTGCTTTGTCTGAGACCAGGTTTACAGTCACACTAAATCAGACATATGGAGACTTTATCTCCCAAACTTCCAGTTGGCATAATATTTATGAGAATTCTGGAAGTTGGTCCACAAATCTTGAAAGTAGGAAGAGAAGTCTGCAGTAAGCAATAATGTGGTTTGTTTCGTTTTGATTCGTGTTGAATGCTCCAACACTGGAAGTTTTTAAGAAGAGACTGGACAGCCATTTGTCCGAAATGGTATAGGGTTTCCTGCCTGAGCAGGGGGTTGGACTAGATGACCTTCAAGGTCCCTTCCAACTTTACTATTACTGTTGTTGTTGTTGTTATTATTATTATTATTATTATTATTATTATTATTATTAATATGTGTAACCTTAGTCAATTGTGAGTATTCATTAAGCAAACCATGGATTAATGTGATGTATGAACAATTTGCCAACTGAAAAAAATGTTTTGGTGATTGGATGGAAAATTAAGCCTGAAATTTAAAAATAATTTTAAATTATTACTTTTTTTTTTAAAGCTTTACTGAAGGTTTCTGTTATCTTACTACCTCTTATACTATTTCAGAGCTGTGGTGGCTCAGTGATTAGAATGCAGTATTGCAGTACTGCTGACTGCCGATTGCCAGCAGTTTGGCAGTTTGATCCTCACTGGCTCAAGGTTGACTCAGCCTTCCATCCTTCTGAGGTCAGTAAAATGAGGACCCAGATTGTTGGGGGCAATATGCTGGCTCTGTAAAACCGCTTAGAGAGGGTTGTAAAGCACTGTGAAGCGGTATATAAGTCCAAGTCAGTGTTTCTCAACCTTGACAATTTTAAGGCATGTGGACTTCAACTCCCAGAATTCCACAGCCAGCATTGCTGGCTGTGGAATTCTGGGAGTTGAAGTCCACATGCCTTAAAATTGTCAAGGTTGAGAAACACTGGTCTAAGTGCTATTGCTATTGCTATTGCTGGCTGTGGAATTCTGGGAGTTGAAGTCCACATGCCTTAAAATTGTCAAGGTTGAGAAACACTGGTCTAAGTGCTATTGCTATTTAGTCTTAGTATTTGTAATTAAATGGTTATTGCAGAATTCAGCACAGTTTTTTAGTTTTCTGTTTTTCCAGGAAACTGATCCTGAAAAGCTGCCCTGAAGCCTTTACCACAAAGGAAATAAAGAGTGTAAACAATAATACCATCAGATTTAAATAACCTGCAACCTTGCTTCCAGAACCAAAAACAGCTTGATGTCCTTGCTGCTTTCCCACTGTCCTAAAAATATGTAGGAGAAGCTGAACTCCCAAATTATGATGTCTTGCAAATGCAGCTTCTCTTATGGAATATAAAAACTCTGACTTCCTTGGCACCAAAAAGCTACCAATTATATCATTAAACAAAACAAAAAAGCAACCATACGCTCTCCTCTTTCTGCACTGTGTGATTATGGCTTCTTAAGCACTTTCTATTCTGGTTTCTACCTAGGATAATTGGGCAGATTAGGAGACAGAGTAGGCCAGTGCCAGCTTGCTCCATTTCTACATAGAAGTTTAAATTTTTGCTGCTACCAAGTTCCTCAGATCATGCCACAGTTAATGGGTTGGTTTGTATGACAAGCATTAACCCTGCGGTGGGAGGTTTAAGGCTACATAAAGGAACTGAGATAAGACTTTGGGATTTATACAAAGAAGTCATGGCAAGTCTTGAGCTCACTGTGGCTAGGCAATGCATTTACGGATCAACAGCAACTTGTCACAGTAGCAAAGGCTGGACAAACTGCTTACTAATGGTTAGTTGACACAAGCCAACTTAAATGAAAATGTATGAATCTGACCTGTTTATCTATTACTGACATTCATTGCAGTTTAAAGCTTGTAGCCCAAGAAAATGAAGGAAAGAAAAAGGAAGCAAAACCTGTTAAAACCTTTGTGTTAAACTACAGTTTAATGTTATGTCTAAGAGTTTACATATTTAAACATCAGTGTCTTAAATTTGTGTCTTTAATTTTCTGCTTCTAATAAGTAGTATATTTCTGGTCTCTTTCATGCTATACATGCTTTTTAGCTTGAAAAGCAAGGTAAGTAAATAAGTAAAAAATAAATTCCCATATCACAAAATTTAAACACCTTCTTCATACAAATTAGCAGAACTCAACCACATTTAACTTTTTCTCTATCTTCAGATCTTCCAGGCTGCCATCAATTTCATCTTGCTATGGTACTTAGTAGGGCCTACTGATGGGGTGAATTTTAGGAGCTGTGGTTCAATATTCAAAGGGCACCAGATTATGGAAGGAAGACCTGTAGATCCTTGAATACATAACAATATGTGGGTATATGCTGATAAATATGAATAGCATGATAAAGTCTCAAATGTGCTTCTTATTGACCTCAATTAGGGAGATATATGATCCTGAACCCCATAACTTAAGTACATGACTTGTTAAATTTCCCTTAATAAGAAGCCAAAGAACAGTAAGGATGGGTGATTGGTACCACATGTTCCATATAGTAGATGTGTCTTTGCAGCAGATTGATAGGTCCCAGATGTTAAATACAGTAGATATATCAGTGCAGCAGAAAGACTGACAGTGGTTGCCATAGGATGATTACAACAGAGAAGTATGCTTAGAATTATAGAAGACCACAGTGTACAGTTCAGTAAAATATATTAATGCAGAATTCTTTTATCTTATCATCTGATTACTTAGAACCAAATTATGTATTCGGTGAAATTGGAAGGCTCCATGTTAAAGGGATCTACATTGTTTTTTCCTGGGCATTCTAACTGTCAGTTTTTGTGATAGTCTCTATTTT